AAGCAACTGGCATTCTTGACTTAGCTGCAGAAAGAAAACAAGAAAAGAATTCATGCTGATCTGAAACAACTCATTTAATTCCTTCCTTCCTTCCCTCCATCCCTCCCTCCCTTCCTTTCTTTTTCCTCCCTCCCTCCCTCTCTTCTTTCCTTCCTTCCTTCCTTCCTTCCTTCCTTCCTTCCTTCCTTCCTTCCTTCCTCTATTGCCCTTCCCTCCCTCTATTCCTTCCTTCCTTCCTTCTTACTTCCTATCTATCTAACAACCTTCCACAAATTGGCTGGGGAATTCTGGGAAAAGTCCACAAGTGTTCTAATTGCCAAGGTCGGATACCCCTGTTTTAAAACTGAAACCTGAATCGGTTAAGAAAGTGTTACTGTGTTTCCTATAAACCTCTCGTTTGCCATATCACAACTTAATCTGGGGTGGAGCTGATCTTCTCTCCTTTCAAAATGACACGAACAGCCGCCTGAAGTTGCGGTGCGAAAGCTCAGCGCTCGGATTAAAAAGTGGACGGAGAGGCCAAAAAATAAAACAGCCACTGGTAAATTCGATTCCGTTGTCCCCTGTTTGCATCCAAAACGATTTCACACAAAGTCTTTTTTTTTTTTTTTTTTTACACATAACAGCCATTTGGCATTTTACTCCTCTGTTGATGCGGTGTTCCTCGACTTACTCAGAATCTCCATTGCTAAGGGAATTGCATCTGATTTTATAATTTTTTACGTCACTTCTTAAGGAAATTGCTATCATTAAGTGAATCGTGTGGTCGTTAAATGAATCTCACTCCCCCCCCCCGACTTTGGTAGTCGGAAGCTGGCCAGGAAGATGACCCTGGGATGTTGCAATGGTTGTAAATATACATCCAGGTTGCCAAGCTCGCAAATTTTGATCCCATTCCTGGGGATTATTAATACATTATCCGGTGGGGCTTGATATCTGTTTATTCCTCTTCAAGTGGGATTTTTATCTCTCCCAGTTGTTGTTTTGGCTGTCCCAGTAGCTCCCAGTCATCCCTGCTTGGCCTTCTCTTTTTCCAATTTTCCACATCAGCCATTTTTGCAAGATAAGATTGCAGCAAAATCAAAACCCAGGGCTTCCAAAGAGGGCTTTTTTTAAAAAAAAAAAACAAAAACTTGGGACTGACGTCATGGTTATGCAGATTAGGCTGCGCATGGATCGCTGGGAAATTGGCCGGCGCCGCCACTGGGAGAGGTTGGGATGCTAGGGGAAAAGGAAAGCGGTGGGGCGGCAGGGAAGGGTCTCCCCACTAGGATGGCGGGGTCGCGGGGGAAAAAAAATATGCCCGCGGGGTCACCATAACCAAGGCGGTTGTCCCGCAGAGAGTAGCCGCCACCGCGCAATTGCGCGAGCATCGTCAGTGAGGTATATCCTTACCTGTTCCTCCTCCGGGAGAACAGAAAATGATGAATGGAGAGGCATGAGAGATG